GTTGCACCAGGGTTGAAAAAAATCTTTCCAAGGTCTATTGGTTGACTAGGTCTGCCTTAGTGTATCCACACAGGCCCAGGAACATGTTGCAAAGCTTGGCAGTCCAGCCTGTTCTGCTTTCCATCTTCTGGCAAAGTATGTGAGACAGAGGAATAAATATCATAACATTTGTATGTATCTACCAAACATTATATTCATATAGTATTATCCAAGAATGAAATTAGATATATTGTGAATTTTCTGTTTATGTTATTCCTTTCAGTATCAGTCTCTTACAAAATGTTATGTATTTTTTGGATTTATGTAATGGATTCTTATCTGCCTTCTTAAGCAAGTTATTTTTTCTTGATATAGGTAGGTAATATATCATGTACGATCATGTAATGTGAGAATAATAGTCATTTTTGCCCTTGCATCAAATACCATAAGCCAAATATAGGTTTTTTTTATACCAAATATAGTATTTTTATTCTTAGGTCAGGTTTGAATATTATTTCCGTTTCCTTTTCCTTTCAATTTCATCTCTTACTGCTCTCTTCTACAACCTTGTAGTTTACTCCACTCTTCTTCATTTTCTACCTCTAACTACATTCATCAGGGGAAGGAATGAACAGTTTTGTTTTATAGTGGTAAAAAATTCTTAAAAGGTTAAATGTGGGCTCAGCATGGTGGCCTAGCAGCTAAAGTCCTCCCCTTGAATATACCGGGATCCCATATGTGTGCCAGTTCTAATCCCGCTTCCCATCCAGCTCCCTGCCTGTGGCCTGGGAAAGCAGTTGAGGATGGCTCAAAGCCTTGAGACCCTGCACCCGTGTGGGAGACCCAGAAGAAGCTCCTGGCTCCTGGCTTTGGATTGGCTCAGCTCCAGCCATTGCAACTGCTTGGGGAGTGAATCATCAGATAGAAGATTTTCCTCTTTGTCTCTCCTCCTCTCTGCATATCTGACTTTCCAATAAAAATAAGTAAATGTTTTTTAAAGAAGTTAAATGTAAGTGAAGAGAAACAAACCATAATGATATATCCACCACACCCACTAAAGTGTCTACATTAGAATGATAAAATCAAATGTAGACAGCAATACAGAGCAGAAGAAATTCTCATACACTACTCAAGGGAATGTAAACTGGTGCAAGAATTCTGAAAAACTATCTGGAAATATTTATGAAAAATATATGCTTATCACCCAGGAGTTCACCCATACACTTATTGCCAACATATATGTACATGTGAATCGAAAGACGACATAAGAGAAATTGTCCCGACAGCATTATTTAAGATAACCACAAGTTGGTGGTTAAATTGTAGTACATATTCGTACAAAGGCAAACTGTGTAGTAATGAAAATGAACAGACTATTGCTATACACAATATGGGTGAATAACGCAACATAAGCTTCACTGGAAAAATATGGCAAGTAAAGTACACAGTTTATCATTCTGTTGATGTTTAAAGATCAGATACAGGCAAAAATAATCTGTGATACCAGAAATCAAAACAGGGATTTCCTCTGAGGATACATGAGAGGGAAGAGAATGGGAAAGAGGGCCCGGGGAGCTTCTGAGTTGCCAGTCATGATTTATTTCTTGATGGGCATCATAGTCAGATAGTATGTTATATTTGTCATAACAAGCTTTTGATATATGATTTGTGCACTATATCCTGTGTGTACTCCAGCAATAAAGCAAAAATATTGAAATCATGCTGAAAGTAAACAATTATGGAAAATATATTCACATATTTTTAAAGTGCATAAAGCAGGTCAGAAAGTATGAAAAGGAGTTCAGAGTGGAGCGTACAATCTCATTTTTACATTCACATTTCAACAGACTGGAAAACATGCCATTTGTCACAGTCGCAGGTGCAGTTCTTTTGTTGTTAGTCATTTAGCTATAACTAGAATTGCTTGGAGACCTTTAGAATGGAATTGCTTGAGACCAGGTTTGCAGCTCAGTGTGGCCAGGGAGCAGATTGCACGGACAAATGCGCTCAGGGTTAAAGATGAAAACAGAGAGCTAGGTAAACACCAATTTGTTAAGAGTTTTAACACTATGGAATGGGATCAAGAAGTCATTTTAGAGATAAAACACTGCTTTTCTATAAACGTTTTTCTTTATTGGAGGGGAGGGTAGTAGGTTCAAATCATGAGAAAATGAATCATGAATTAGGTGTTAGGGGGAAATTGCCCATCTTTGTGATTTGTTTTTGTAAATCCTCTCTGAATTTACCCCTGGGAAGCACTCACCTAAGACAAGTAACATGGACTCCTTCTGGGAAAGGGGATAATAAGGGCGGGGAACTCCTTCAGATCCGACCTCAGTCGTCCCCGTGTGGGAGTACAACACGTGGTGCTGCTTCCCACAAGATTCTCCCAAGGAATGGTCACACACACCACACGTTTCTACTTTGTAGAATATTCACATTCATTTGTGTACACTTTGATCTGTTTAGCCCAGGATAAGCATATCCACACTTTTGAACGAAGTTTCCTATTATAAAAAGCACATAGGATGTAGGAAATGGGAGAGGTGACTGAAGACAGTGGCCTCTGATGGAATTCCATGGCATAGGATTGCTGAATGAAACAATATTCATTATCTACCAGTTTTTAAAACATTATTTATTTACTTATATTGGAAAGGTAGAGTTACAGAGAGAAGGAGAGAAAGAGAGGTCTTCCATTCGTTGGTTCACTCTCCCAAATGGTTGCTATGACTGGAGCTGAGACGATCTGAAGCCAGGAGCTTCTTCTGGGTCCCCCACAAGGTTTCAGGGACGCAGGCCATCCTCCATTTCTTCCTCTAGCCATAAGCAGGAAGCTGGATTGGAAATGGAGCAACTGAGGCATGACATTGGCTCCTGCCCCCAATAATTTGAGCGAAGATTTCAGTTGTTGCTGCAGATGGCAACCCTGTCTCACTGCCTTCCTTGGTGGTTAAGAGCTATGATTACAACTATCTATGCTTCAGCCCAATTATTTAGTAGCAGAAAATAAATCACCTGACCCCTCCTCCCAGCCGAAGTGTTTTCATCATGCACAGGTCTTGAAACTACCCCTGCCCTCCGCACTCCGCCCCGCTCCCCCGAATGGGCAGGCCCCATGCTGAGGTTGCCATCTCCACTTTTCTAGGCCCTGAACATTTCCTGCCGAAACAGGAAGCCCAGACCGTTCAGTCTAGCCACCTCCATCCTCAATTCCCACCAGTCCTAGCATACTCTGGTTCCAGCCACCCTGGATAACTGGCTGTTTTGCAAAACTTATTTCATATTTCACACTTCTGGGCCATTCCTGTTGCTATTTCCTTTGGTTTGAATACTCTTATAAACCATAAGCCATTTCCAGTCATTTCATTACTCAGAGGTCAATTCCTTCTTGAACCTTTTTTGCCAACTGTCCCAAACACAAAACACCCCACACTGTAGTTCCTTACTTGCTCCTTCTTCACTGTTTGTACCATATGTTGTTCCTTGGCCCTAACTCAAAGCATCCATTCCCATACGTCTTATATGAGTCACTTTTTAAATAAATAAGGTTGGATGATGCAACATTGAATAGCTATGCTTGAGATTCTGACATACCACAGTTCAAACTCTGGTCTTCTGCACATGTAAATGCAGCTTGATCCAGTTTGCTCAATTGTAAAATGAGGACCATACAGAATAGCCACCAGTGGTAGGTGCTTTTGCTCATCAGCTGCTCCTTGGGATGACTGCATCCCATATTGGACTGGAGTTCAAGTTCAGCCTACCCTGCCTTCAATCCAACTTCCTGCTGATGCATCCTAGGAAGCAGCAGGTGATGGCTCAGATGTTCAGGCACCTAATGCCTGTGTAAAAGATCTGAATGGGGTCATGGGCTCCTACTTCCAGCCTGGCCCTGACCCAGCTATTGTGGGTATTTGGGAAGTAAAGCAGCAGATGGAAAACCTCTGTCTCACTTTCTTTGCAGAGAGAGAGAGAGAGAGAGAGAGAGAGAGAGAGAGAGAGAGAGAGAGAGAGCGAGCTACAAGGGCGGATGTAACATGCAATTAAATCACTGCTTGGAACACCAATATCTTGCATTAGAGAGCCTGGTTTAAGTCCCAGCTTCCAATGTAGCTTCCTCTTGATGAGCACCCTGTGAGGCAAAAGCTATATATCAAGTACCTGGGTCTCTAACCTATGTAGGAGACCCTGATGGAGCTCTGTGCTCCTGGTTTCAGCCAGGTCCAGCCTGGTCTACTGTTGACATTTGGGGAGTGAACCAGCAGATGGAAGATCCCTTTCCATCTGCCTTTCTTTTTCTCTATTTGCCTCCTAAATAAGATACAAGTGAACAAATAAATAAAATGTGAAAGAGTAGCTATCTCAACAAAATGATTACATGATTTATTATGAGGAAAAATGGCTGGCACATGATAAACGCTACATAAGGGTTAGCTTTCATCACCTTTAACACTGTTTGGACCTAACCCCGGATGCAAATGTCACATGCAAAGAACTCATCACTGTGTTCGCCCTCTGATAGATCCCCAAAACCCAGCACTGTTCCTGACAGGTGAGACAAGCTCAAGAAATACCTGTGGAGTTAAGTAGATGCATTAATGCATCTACAGAATACTTTCTGGTAACATTTACTTCTCCTTCCTCTCTGAATCCTCTGTTGCCTATTAGTACGGGGCTTTATGCACCATGGAAAAATTCCAGCTAGAGCATCACTGGAAACGCCTCCATCCTTTGATCACTTGGCTTTATTTCTACACTCCCTTTCTTGAAGTTTCTTCTCTAACAAATTTAAGCTCAGTAGCAACCATTGGCTTTATCTTTGTTTCCCCTTTTCTGGACTTCTCTGTTCTGGCAAGTTCGATGATCAGCAGCAAGTACTTTTACCAGCCTCTCTGGCAGGGCAGAGGTGGGAGACGCGAATGGAAGACTGGGAATGGGGCGTGGCCACCACGTCGCAGAGCCCGATCGCGCCTGCGTAGGCTGCGGCAAAGCCAAACGCTTTTAGGCTTGCGGTCATTGCTCTCTAGTGCTTGTTTAGAAAGATCGCTCTTCTCATCAGCTCACATTTCTGGTCCGCCCAGCTTCCGAGTCTCAGGCTTCGGCTTTGGGCCGAGGCGCCAGCACACCTAGCGTCCTGTCTCTCTCCAACGGATCGCAGACCTCCCAGTTCCGGCTCCTGCCTCCTGGAACCATGTCTCTGGTAAGCCAGAACGCGCGCCACGGCAGCGCCGAGAGCACTGCAGATTACAGCGACGGCCGGGGTGAAATGCAGGCTGCTAACATCTCCGGGCCCCCCACCTCCATGCTTGTCTCCGATGCTCCACAGGGTCCTCAGGGTGCCAGCGCTTCCCAGGCTGCGCAGGACCCAAATGACCTCGAGGTCCTGATCGATGAGCAATCCCGACGTTTGGGGGCGCTCAGGGTCCACGACCCTCTAGAAGACAGGTCCATTGCGTTGGTGAATTTCATGCGAATGAAAAGCCAAACCGAGGGGTCTATCCAGCAGTCAGAGATGCTGGAGTTTCTCAGAGAATACTCAGATCAGTTCCCTGAGATCCTCAGAAGAGCCTCAGCTCACCTGGATCGGGTTTTTGGATTGAACCTCAGGGTTCTCGATCCCCAGACTGATACCTACAACCTAATCAGCAAACGAGGTCCCCAGACCACTGAGCGGCTAGTAGAGTCCCTGGACATGCCAAAGGCAGGTCTTCTGGCCCTGGTCCTAGGCCACATACTTCTGAATGGCAACCGGGCAAGGGAGGCCTCCATTTGGGATCTGCTGCTGAAGGTTGATGTGTTGGATGAGCCTCAGAGAGTCAACAACCTCTTTGGGGACACAAGGAACCTCCTCACGACTGACTTTGTGCACATGCGATTCTTAGAGTACTGGCCCGTATATGGCACCAATCCCCTTGAATTTGAATTCTTGTGGGGCTCTAGAGCCCACAGGGAAATCACAAAGATGGAAGCCCTGAAGTTTGTGGCACAGGCCCATGATGAAGAGCCCTGGAACTGGCCAGAAGAATATAACAAGGCCCTGGAAGCTGACAAAGCCAAAGAAAGAAGTCAGGCTGCTGGCTTAGAGTTCTGGTCAGAGGACACAATGAATGATAAGGCAAATGATTTGGTCCAGTTGGCCATTAATGTCACTGAAGAGTTGCTTCCTATACATCAGGATGAGCTACTGGCTCACACTGGCAAAGAATTTGAGGATGTGTTCCCAAATATCCTCAGTCGAGCGACCCTGATCCTTGATTTGTTCTATGGGTTCTCTCTGATTGAAGTTGATACCAGTGAGCACATCTATCTCCTTGTCCAACAACCAGAATCCGAAGAAGAGCAAGTGATGCTGGAGAGCCTGGGGAGACCCACTCAAGAATATGTGATGCCAATCCTGGGTTTGATCTTCCTGATGGGCAACCGTGTCAAAGAGGCCAACGTGTGGAACTTGCTTCGAAGATTTAGTGTCGACGTAGGGAGAAAGCATGCCATCACCTGTAAGCTTATGAGGCAGCGCTATCTGGAATGCAGGCCACTGTCCTATTCGAATCCAGTTGAATATGAGCTTTTATGGGGTCCTCGAGCCCACCTTGAAACCACCAAAATGAAAGCCTTGGAGTACATGGCCAGGCTCTACAGAAAGCGACCACAGGACTGGCCAGAGCAATATCGAGAGGCTGTGGAAGACGAAGAGGCCAGAGCCAGATCTGAGGCAACTGCCATGTTCTTCTTTGGCTCCGTGTGAAGTGCTGCAAGATGTATTACTGCAGCTGAGTGGCATTGTTAAAGGGGCCATGGCAGAGATGGGGCACTGGAGCCCCAAATCCAAAGTTGGGGTAGGGAGTACACATTGTGCTTGTTATCTGTGTTCCAGTTCTAAAAGTGTTCCCTTCCTTTTAATGTGCCCTTGAATTAGAGGTGTGATCAATGTTTATAAATGAAATTTCTCATTTGCCATTTCTGTCTTAAACATTGAAGTTCAGATAACTGTGTAAAATGTATTGGTAATATTTACATCTGTGAAATAAGTAGTAAAATGATTCTGGTTTGGGAGTTAAACGATAATAACACACACATGACAAAAACAAACATGAAACCACTGCTCTATGGACATTCTTCCTTGTGTCTACTTTCGTGTAAAAAGGAAAAAAAAAAAGACTGCCATTTATCTGTATTTGCTTTGCTGTTCCAGAGTGTAGTGAAAAATTAAAAAGCATAATGAAGTAAATACCATGCTTACATTCTCATTTATTCTACAAACATTTATTGAGCACTTGTCATGCTCTGAGCACAGGGCTATATGCTAGAAATATATGGCTAAAAAGGGCCCAACTGGGCCCAGGGTTTAACAGGGAATGGGGGCGTGGAAGTAACCCAGCAATTATACTATGCTATCATGTATAATAGAGGTAAGAAAATGGATTGCTGGGGTGGGGGGAGGAGTTGTGCTACGCAAGTCCACAGGAATAACTCTCACCTTTAGCTGCTGAAAGAGACAGTGGAGAAAGTGTTGCGATTCAAAAAAGGGCTTAGCAGAGTGCAGGAACATCAAGCAGGGGATGAGTGGTCAGTGGTGGTAGTGAAGAACTGGGGACAAGATGCTTTATATCTATTGTGGGGCCTGAGGTTAGGGAGAGGGAGGAGGGGAGGGAAGGAAGTGGAGGCTGTTGGGGAAGATAGAGCAGTGTGTAAAATGCCCCCAAGATATTTGAAGGTAACTCAGACAATGTTAAGTCGGTGGGGGGGGGGGGGCGGGGGCGGGGAGGTGAGCCTGTGGCAGAGGTGATAAGGGCCAGTATCCTCAGATAATGGCTCTGGGGAATCAGCAAGGGATTCTCTGAAGACAGCTAGGATTGGATCTTGAATCAGAGCTAGCGATCCACCTGCAGGAGCTGGGCGCAGCGGGGATTCTCTGCCTGTGCAGTTTACTTCAGCAGCCAGGCAGTTTAGGTGAGTGTATTTTGGCTCTCTTCATCCTGATTCCTCTCAAAGCTTCTCACAGAGCTCTCCCCAAGTCTTCCATAGAGAGTTAGCAAGCAGCAATTTCTAAGAGGCATTCCTGGAGCAAGGGTGGATTATCATATAAAAAGTCAAATCTGCCTACCGGTAGTGTAGGTTTTTACACTCTCTCTCCTGGCACCTGCAAGCTTTCGGCCCTTTGCATCCATTTAATCACTAAGGGCCATCGCCGATGGGAAAGAGCTGAAAGACACGTTTTCTTCAGTCTCAGGAGGAGATCAACACAACCATCTCGCTGGGGGTGGGGGGCTGTGCACCAGAAGGAGGGGAGATATACCCCTTTGGCTCCCAAGTTTGGCGGGCGGCAATGCAAAAACCTAATTAGATTGCTTGGCTTGGAAAAGCCACCGCGCAGGCGCACTCGGCGGTTGCCTGGGAGATCCAGCTTCAGCTCTGTCTCAGTGGTCTGGCCAAAAGTAACATTCCTGAAGGGACGCTTAAGGCGGGATTTCCGGGGTTGTGAAAACGTTAGTAACCCGAGAGCCTGAGCTGTGGGTTCTGGAAAACGGGGTCGGGTAGGGTTCTGAGGCAAGACAACATCTCATTCAAAATCTGGGAACTTTGGGCAGGGTTCTATCAATGCTGTTTCGCAAACCTTTCATCCTTAGACCCTTCTGTGCATGTCTGTAGTGCAGAAGAGGGATGGGGCAAGAAGATTAAGGGGCCAATATTTTCTTGCAGTTTCTGGATGCTCCAACATGTCAGTTCTTCTGGGGACTCCCGAAAAGAGAAACTTGCCAAGGGGAGGCAGAGCTGTGACACCTGGATCAGCAGTCACTGAAGTAAAGCTGCCACTGGGTTTAGTACAAAATCCGTGCTAAATTCCCCTGCCAAATTCCTTATATGCTTAGCTCTCACCTTTGCACCAGTTCTCCAAGAAATATTTTTAATAATCCCACTTGATGCTCCAGGAAATTAGGACTTAATTAATATGCCCAAAGTCATACAGCCCGCAATAAGAGCTTGTCTTGGAGTCCTAGGTGCTTCCTTCCCAAGGAGGGCTCTGTTCTTACTCCAGTTTCCTGACCCTCAGGAAATAGGAAAAGATCGCTTGGCCTTAGTAGAGAGGCAAGACAATAGCTCTCTGAAGGAGGATGAAAGGGGAGTTGAAATTGTTCCAGATTCCACATTCTTCTGTGCTTCATTATTGGAACTCCATGAGAGCTGTCCAGGTGGAGACAACGCATCTTTGTTCACTCTCCCTACTCGGTGCTGTGAGCCTTCCCCAGTCTGCTGCCCTGCAAGCCTCCTGCCTTAACTGCTGGCTTTCCCCAAGGGAGGGTCAAACCTCACCATTTCTGGACACAGGACGCTAGTTGATAGTCAGTGATGCCTTTGGCAATCCTAAAAGAACAATGCTGACAGAACTCCTGCTCCGTGTAGGGCCACTGAGGATGCAAGAACAGGAATGGGAAATACTCCTGTGTTACAGATACCATATGCAATTCCCCAGAAATGAAAAGAGTAAGCTTTGTGGGGCACATGCCTGTGGTAAGATAGGACGCAGTCTCTCTGTTGTAGCCACAGCCATTCCCTCAAAGGCCAAGAGAGACCTGGGTACTCAGCAACCTTCATGCATTCATTACAAAATAATCCCTCCCAGGAGAAACACTAGTGGAAGTGGGTATCTGGAAACCCAGATGTACAGAAGATGCTGCATGAATTATTCCAATAGACAATCAGAAAGGATGTGTGGTTAGGAAAGCCTTCTTCCTGCTCTTTCTTTCCATCAAATTCTATGTATACATGCAAGTCATCCCTTAATAAACATATAGTCCAAGAAAAAGCTGAACTGGAGTGATACATGTGGATTGCAAGGCAATTCCTCCAGTTCCAATGACTGCTGTTCCTGAACCCTCTGGTATTGACCATCTGGATCAACCCATAAGCACCTTTCAGGATTAGCCAAGGAATCTGTAGTCTCCTTTCTTCTTCAATAGGTTCTATAGACACTGAGATTAAAAAAAGAGATTTATTTATTTTTACTGGAAAGGCAGATATACAGAAAGAAATATCTTCCATCCTCTGGTTTACTCCCCAAATGGCTGCAATGGCTGGAACTGAGTCTATCCAAAGCCAGGAGACAGGAACTTCCTTCCCTCCCATTCCCTCCCCTTGCTTCCTCTCCCCTTCTCTCCCCTCCCCTCCTCTTTCTTCCTTCCTTCCTTCCTTCCTTCCTTCCTTCCTTCCTTCCTTCCTTTCTTTCTTTCTTTCTTTCTTTCTTTCTTTCTTTCTTTCTTTCTTTCTTTCTTTCTTTCCTTCCTTCCTTCCTTCCTTCCTTCCTTCCTTCCTTCCTTCCTTTCTTTCTTCCTTTCTTTCTTTCTTTCTTTCTCTCTCTCTTTTCCTTCCTTCCTTCCTTTGCCAGAGTTTCACACACACAGAATCTTCCACCTGCTGGCTACAATGCCCCAGGCTGGATAAGACTAAAGCCAGGAGCCAGGAACTTCTTCCAGGTCTCTTACATGTGTGCAAGGGCTCAAGCACTTGAGTCATCTTCCACTGCTTTCCTAGGCACATTAACAGGGAGCTGGATTGAAAGTGGAGCACCCCACTATAATGCTGGCCAAAGAATGGGTTCCCACAAAAACGGAAAAGATATAGGGTAAAACTGAGACTCCAGCTTTTCTTTGCTGTCCACACATCTGCCCTTAGCTCACATAAATGTGTGCACGTACAAGTACAGGAGATCTCTCTTACATGAAACAGGAGCTTCTTTTGGGTCACACACATGGGTGCAGGGCCCCAAGCACTTGAGCCATCCTCTGCTGCCTTCCAAGGCCATATGCAGGGAGCTGGATGGGAAGTAGAGCAGCCGGGATATGAAGTGGTGCTCATATAGGATGCTGGTGCTGCAAGGTAGAGGAGGGTTAAGCAGTTGAACCATCACATCAGACACTTGACTATGATATTTTACAAACAATAGGATTTCTCTTCTTCCTCAGTGAATATTCAGAGATGTCTTAAATGATTCTCATAAGGCATTGTCTGAGACACACTGCAAAGACTGTTGGAAAGCAAAAGTGTGCCCTGAAACACTTTTGTTCTAGATCCTATAGGAATAAACCAAATACCTGATAAGATGAGGACATTATATTAGAAAAATGAAAAAATCTGAATTCTGGGTAATATGGACTCTGCACTAGCTGTGTGACCTTGGGCAAGTTACTCAAGAGCTCTTTCCAGACCACCTAAAGGTGCTTATAAGAAATTGACAGAAACACTCAAGGTCATGCATTTACTATTTGATGATGTCAGAAATGTAACTCAGGCCAATTGTATTCCAGTCTAGTTGTATTTTCAGGCCATGCCACTGTTTCTAAGACTGATGTTTTTCCACACCATGAACACCACCTGAATCTTTTCTTTTCCTAAACATTTATTTTTTTTATTACAAAGTCAGATATACAGAGAGGAGGAGAGACAGAGAGGAAGATCTTCATTCACTCCCCAAGGGGCCGCCGATCTAAAGCCAGGAGCCAGGAACCTCTTCCAGGTCTCCCATATGGGTGCAGGGTCCCAAAGCATTGGTCCGTCCTCTACTGCTTTCCCAGGCCCCAAGCAGGGAGCTGAATCATCGGACGGAAGATCTTCTTCTCTGTCTCTCCTCCTCTTTGCATATCTGACTTTGTAATAAAAATAAATAAATCTTTAGGAAAAAAAAGAAGCCCACATTCTAATTAAGATGTAGAAACATTCCAGAATAGTACAAAATTGAGAATAGCTACATTGAAACACGAAAGAAGAGAAATTTTCTTTACCCATCTCAGCCACTAGCATAAATTGGGACAAGCACAGCAATGGGAGAGAGAGCATCTAGATCCATGATTTCATCCACATGAGGGAAAGAGACTGGATGGAGTATGTACATAGCCTCTTGGCCCTTCATTGGATTATCCAAGGGCCATGTTTCTGGAGCACTGATGAAACTAGTATCATGTACATATATGGGGTAAATGTGAACAGGAGAGGGGGCTGGTAGTTCCTTGCAACCATCACAACCTTGCACAATTAAGAAATATGTTCCGGGCCCAGCGCGGTGGCACAGTGGTTTAGGTCCTCACCTTGCACGCCCGGCCAGGATCCCATACGGGCCCCGGTTCTATCCCGGCAGCCCCGCTTCCCTTCCAGCTCCCTGCCTGTGGCCTGGGAAGGCAGTCGAGGATGGCCCAAAGCTTTGGGACCCTGCACCCGCGTGGCAGACCTGG